CCCCCCCCCCCAGCAGCAAGCGCTGCAACTACAAGCACCACCATGAGTAGGGTGGCCCAACTCAATTTTGCAAGGTCATCCTTGCACCGAAGCTTGAGTGCATCCCCCTGGACTTCACCAAGCACTTCGTCGCGGTGCCGACGGAGTTCAAGCTGAGGAACAACACCGGCTGCTCCTGGAGGGTGATGGTGAAGCTGATGAATGGTAGTGTGACCCTGGATCATGGTTGGGCCACCTTCACCGCCGTTCATCAGATCAAGATTGGCTACATGGTGACGTTCAAGCTCCTGACTCCCGACACCCTCAAGGTCATCATCTTCGACGACGATGGCATTGAGGTGGTCAACAATTGCAGGAAGCACGACGAAGCCTTCGCCGTTAGGGACTAGGGCCGGGGCACCTCCTTCCTAAGTACTATCGAGTCTGCTTTATGGTTTATGCGTTGAACTGTTTGAACTATCGTTATGATGTGTGGTATTATGTTATCTGAACTATGTTGTTAAGTAGTTGATGGTCTGTTTATGCTCTGCTCTGCTTATGATGTGTGTTACATGGTTGTGCAGAAGTGTGCTAGTAACCTCACCAACTAGGCAAAGAGCTTACCACACACCAGACGTTGCATACAACCAAACACCATGCCTTGGGTTTGTCCACTAACATGCAGGCAACCAAACACCAGGCAGTGTGGTTCAGCCCATGCAGGCAAGAGGGCATGCAGTCAACCAAACAACTTGCAGATGGTGCATTTGAGGTTGCATTTGCATAGCCAGGCTGAGTTGAGAAGGCTATGCAATGCAGCTATTGTAGACTACGACAACCAAACACGCCCTATATGAGCACCTTGAGAGAGTGAGCACAAATAAATCCAGAAAATATGCAAGCAACTATATCTACAACTTGAATCCGAGAAGGTTCCCTAATCATTTAAGTTATGCTTAGTTCACATTTCTCTCTCTCTTTTGAAAGGCAATGGAGTGCGTCTTTCTTTGCTTTGCTTTTTTGTTTTCTCTTTGCAGACAAGTAGTTCTTCTTTTGCCCCTCTATTTGTTCTCTTCAATGTTCGTCTCCTTCACTTCCATCGGTATTCAGAAAGTAAAATCCGGAACACAACAAGGGGGGAATATTTTTGCAATTGACATTGCTTAGTGTTTACCTACGTGTGGATTTCCATGAGTGATGAATGAACCGCACTCGTGCTAGCCTGGATACAATTAAAACAAAATCAGTGCTTCAAAATGCGGGAAAATATCTAGTGCTACCAAGCTTTAGGTGCTACCGTGATACAACCTTCTGGGCCGTCAGATTCTTAGATCTGATGGCTCTTAATGACTCTGCAACATTTGCAAAAAAGCTTACGAGCTGTCAAAATTTGCGCATAGGTCCAGCAGATCTAACAGCTCCCGGATGCCGTCCGATCTAAGAATCCGCTCCCTCAAAATGCTTTTGGAAATAACCTTTTTGGAGTATTGGTTTTATTTTTTATACGGAGCTGGCCAATTGTTTTTTCATCACGAAAATTTGCACGTGAGCAACACATCCAACCATGTTTGTTCTAAAAAACATCAGATATTATGAATTCTTTTACTTTTTTGGATTTTATACTATTTCGTGTATATGTGCTCGAGGAACAAAATACGCTGTCTTTGGAAATAAAGAGACATGTCACACCGGACCCCTCTATCATTCAACGTAGCTTTCATTCCTACAGGTCAGGGGTTGATGATCTAACTGTTTCTTCAAGCTGACCCACTGCCATTTAATGTTTCATGATTCTTTTTAGAGGAAAAGAACAGCAGACCCCGGGATATTCAATTATGTTTCCGACCTCACATGCGCCCGGGCGAACAGTAATGTTTCAGAATAGCAAAAAAAAAGATGGTTTGCCCGGCAAAATGTTTGAATGTTCTGACAGCATGCAGAAATTCCAAAAAAAATTGACACTCATGGTGCTCTAAATAAAGAAACAAAATCAGTGCTTCCAAAAGGTTGAAAAAACATGTTCAAGATGCTCTGGACTTGCGGAAGGATTAATGATAGAGGGGTCCCGTATTCAGTCATGTTTGGTTCATTGCTCTAACACATTGCTAAATTCAGGCATGTTTGGTTCGTATCCACACATTGCTAAATTCCCGTCACTTCCTTAGCTATGAAGCAAATAAAATCGGTCCCAGTTTTATTATATATATGCACATATTTTTGCCAAATCTTGCCACAGTTGCAATGATCAGTATGTTCACCACTTTCTTTTTGTCTTGCCACAACTTAGAAGAAAAAATATACATATAGCTATGAACCAAACATATGTGAGCGCAAAACATATGTGAGCACAAGCTAATCAATCCCCAAAATATCATCAAATGTCCCGTTGCAAGAATAGCTAATCCGGCCTGGTCACACTCGTGGTATTTCTGCAGTAAATTGTCAATGTAGGCCACTCATTACAAAGCATTACCCAGCAGACGGTGGACACAAACTAAGAAACAACATGCTACATGATATAATGACAAAGTAGCCATTTTATTTATGTACAGATCACACAAGAACAACACACGGTTGGAAACTATATCATATACTCATATCAGGCAGTTCATGTGAGCGCTCTAAGCAGGCACGGCAAAGCTTGGCTCGGTCCAGCTGGTTGGGTCGACGACGATGCACGGATCGTCCTTCTTGAACTCAGCCACCTGCACAGTTCATCAGAGGGAAAAAAAAGGATTACACATAGAATTAGAAGCACAAGAAAGCAAGATATAGGAGGACAGGGATATGATGCCAAACCATTTCTCCACAGCTGGGGCAGTAATGCTGTTTGTGCCAGAGGCAGTCCATGGAGGGGCACAGGAAGCACACGCCCAGAAAGAACGGCATCATGCAAGCCACAACTGATGCGACACTCGGCTTCGACCTGTTCAATGTGTAACAAAGAAGGCTTAGCATCGATGATTTCCAATTACATTTCACTATCACGACAAGTACTACAAGGAATATTGCATTCACGTCTCCCTCGCCTATCTATTCAACCACACGCAAAACTACAAGACTGCTTATTAGCAATCAAATATACAAATAGGATAGACAAGCCAAACTGAAAAAAAAAGGGGCAACCTGGTGCATGTAGCTCCCGCTTGCGCAGGGTCCAGGGAAGGGTTCGACCACTTTGGGTCTATAGTACGCAGCCTTTCCCTACATTTCTGTAAGAGGCTGTTTCCAGGACTTGAACCCATGAACTCATGGTCACAAGGCAGCAGCTTTACCACTGCGCCAAGGCTCCTCTTCATAGACAAGCCAAACTGAACGATAACAAAATATTGTTTTTCCACAAAGATAATGAAAGTAGCCCCTCGTAATGTGTGGACAGAAATACAAGATACTACCAGAAAATAGTACTAAGCCGGACTTCATAACACAGGATAATGCTCATTTAAGTTTGCCAGTCAACCAAAATCCCTAGAGAACGAACTAATGGCATCCCCAAAAGGTGTTACAGAATTGAGATAAATAACACTAGGAAATGTGAATAGAATAATCAGATGCTATCAGGCTACAGGTAATGTATTACTTGGAAGGTCTTTGCATAACAGAGAAATGCTAGATTAAGGTTTGGCTTGCTAACTAATAAAAACGTCTTTCCAACATATCTGCTACTAGCATTTCTAAAAAATAACAAACCTGCAGAATACAAGACAACAAATAATATAAATACATACATTAGATGTCATGGTATATGTCTTGAGGCTAATGCTATTTCAGGAAATCATTGGTCTCACCAAGCAGGGTTCAATTCAAAGTCAAAGCCGAACTTGGGATCACCTTTGGATAAAGATAATATAGTCTTGAGCTATGAGCTTGGTTTGAAGGGCTAAATAATATTTAAAAAATAAAGAACACAACTAGAATTGGAATGATGGTGTGTCCAACTAGAATTGGAAATCAGAAGCTACAAGTTAGAGATTCCGCTTGCTGCTTGGTTCTATTTCAGATGTTCTGTTTGGAATGGTATAAGAAGTGTGATTGGGCATGATCTATACAGAGTTCAAACTGTTTCATGTATCCCTAACAATATCACTAGCCAGCATCTCTTATGATCTTATCCCGTTCCCCGCTAAAACTGGAGATAATTATAATGTTTCTATGTTAGAGTCGGGTCTTTTGACTTTTAGCAGTCAGAAATCATTCATACGTTCTAGTGATAAAAGGAGCACAAGATGGCATAGAAGGTTGATGATTGCGTGGCACCCTTGACAGCTGACCTTTGATGGTCATCAGAATATATCTTCGCACATAATTTTGTTCACCAAATTAAACTTGAATCCATCTAAGCTAAATATTACTCAAATGGAAGTCAGAATCATAAGAGTAATGCGACCAGAATGAAACTCCACTTTAATAGTTAAGATATTCTGTAACTCAACTTCAAAATAAGTATCAATCCTTATGAGAAATAGAATTAACGAGTCCTAAGGCAAAGGGGCGAGAAACTCAAGGCCACTCTTCCTCCGGGCTTTCTTTCCGCAATTTTGTCCCACTAAACAACTTTGAAGAGTTTGACTATTAACAATCAACGCAGCAACAATTCCTCTTTCCAACCAAGGCTGCCCCGCACGACAAGATGAACAAGGAGCCAGATTATTATGAATATAACAGCATGAAGAGCACCTCAAGGATCAAGCTCCTCCCAATTGACAGTCCAGAGATCATAGGAACTACCTCTACGACGCACTAGACTTGGACATAGCCATCATGTCTAACTATCACCCCTATCTATCATTAGAACAACACCATTATCCACTCTTTCACTGGAATCAAGCTAGCCCTCGGGACGCACCAAGGAATATGCCCACGGCTAAAACTAAATTCTGTCCGATCAATCCACAATTCACTAGGATCTCATCCTCAAATCGCGCCTAAACCTCATAGAGGCCGTGTATTGCCCCAGATAACGGCGCGAGATTACAAGGGAGGAGAAGCAAAAAAAGGGGGGGGAGGGGAAAGAGGGGAGATTAGGGGTTGGTTCCTGACCGGACGGAGGTGACGGCGGCGTCGCCGCAGGACTGGCAGTGGAAGGGGGCGGGCGTGTCGCGGAACATGGTGTGCTGCAGGGGCACCCCCTTGGGCGCGCCGGCGTAGATCGCGTTCGGCGGCACCCGCCCCGCCGCGTAGGGGTCCGGCGGGTAGTAGTAGCTGCCCTGGGCCTGCGCCGGGTTGTACGGGATGCCGAGGGCCGGCTCGTCGCCGGCGGCCTTGGCCGTCGCCATGGTCGCTGCCGGCGGGCGGGGATCTGGGCCGGGCGGTGCGCGGTCGCCGGTCGTGGTTGGGGGTTCTGTTTCTGTGCCGTATGATGACAGACAGGCGCGTCGAGGCTGGAGGGGGGCTGGTTGGAACGAACTTGTTGTGAAAGACAGTTCTTCTCCGTGTTGAAAAAGTATATGTGATGAGTTCGGCCACCTTCCATGAAGGAGCCCCCTTCCACACTCCATGTTTGACATGTTGTAGGCTTGCGCATCGTTTGGTACATACGCATGTGACATGTTGCAATTATCGTAGAGCAATTCTAGAAGATTTCCACATGATATTGATCCCCAGGCGGTCGACAAAAGCCTATGCGGGATAATGCCACCATTTTTAAGGCAGATCCACTTCTGTCCAGGCGGTCGTATGAGTCGAGCTAGTTAAGGATGGCGGGGAGGCGCCCGCACTCGACGGCTGATTCAGCCTTACCATGACCGTCCTCCTCGACTCAGTGGGAGTAGTCCCACTCCCTCTCCACATAACTCTCTCTTGACGCGGTCCTCTTCGGTCTCACCAGCGAAAGGCCCGTGACAAGGGCGTAGCCCCGTCATGGTTGATAAGGGCGAGTGTGACGATGATGGGGAAGGGGGAGATTGAGGTGGGGTCATAGTTGACGAAGTTGGGCGATGAGGTGAATGTGGCAGGCTGGTAGCGACGGGGATGAGGGGAGATAGGAGGCTAGTTGGTGCCGGGGGAAGGAGAGTGATGAAGGTTTATATACCTGTGAATCGGCACGCTCCGACGGCAAATGGGGACGGATTGCGCACACGAAGGGGGATACATGTGTGTAACACGACGACTGCTATTAATTGGAAAAGCGGAGGGGCCGATGAAGTGAAAGCGACAGTCGTACCGACAACTCCATTGACTAGGCTACATGTAAGGAAGATGTTAGACCAAAACTTTCCTTTTCGTGCGAACGATTGCAGATGAAGGCCGCTACATATTAGTGTCACAACCTTAAATATGAAGGCTCATGAGCTTTATTTGGAGCGTCTTCTACACATAATGCAGGTCAAGGGTTGTATGACGATGCTCCTAGAACGACTTTTTAGACCACGAGTGTCATATGAACGACTATTATGGCGACGGAAGTCAATATGACGCACAAATTGCCTATGTGCCACAAATGCTACGTGCTGCTCTCTGCAAGCACAAGCGAGCCATCGCCTACGCACGCCGGGCCGGCCCATCATGCGCCACCGAGCGTTCCTCCCGAGAGATTTTAGAAAGGATCGGGAAACTTCAGAGCCCTTATTTCTGTTGGTTTTCCTAATTTTTCGGTTATGTTGCAGTTTCTATTTAATTGCTTTTCTTTTCAAATTCATGAATTTTTTGGAACTGGTGAATATTTTTCAAACTTGTGATCTTTTTTAAGATTTTTGTTTAAAAAAATCATGAACTTTTTTCAAAACCTCAAACCTTTTTTAATCTTCAAAAACTGTTTGAAATATGTGATTTTTTTTAATGCATGAACATTTTCGATATTCACTGGCCATTTTTTAATTTTCACGATCATTTTTCTGAATCTGCGGCCATTTTTTGAGTCAGCTATCTTTTTTCTGAATTCATGAATATTTTTTGAATTTACAAACATATTTTTAATTTACTAAAGTTTTTTTTGAATTCGTGTGAACATATTTGTATTCACAAAATTTTTTGTATACATTATTTCAAATTAAACCAAAAATAAATATAAGAACTAGAAAAGAACAGAAAAATAGACATGTGTTGTCGCTGTCTCTACTTGCGCTCGCCTGGCTAGATCCATATAGCGTGGTGATGCAAGCGGTAGCACCACGGCCGCAAAATCATGCCAATTCCTATTCGGCTCCTCTGCGCCAGTTAACGCGTATTTTGTTAACTGGCGCCTGAAGGCATTGTGCATGGGCCGTCCTATCCAAGGTTATCAGCCGGAGAGATCTGTTTCCTTTTTTTAGGTTTTTTCTGGACCTATTTTGTTCGTTATTTATTTATTTATTTATTTCCTTTTAAATTTTTAATTTTTTTTAAATTTGTGAACTTTGTTTTGAAAATCCACAAAAAAAAAATCAATTTCGTGAATTTTTTTCAAAATCGATGAATTTTTTCAAATTAGTATTTTTGCAAAATCAACGAACTTTTTCCAAATTCATTTTTTTCGTATTTCGAAATCGATGAACTTTTTTCAATCCACGATTATTTTTCAAACTTATTTCAAATAAGTGAACATTTTTTTTCCAAAATCAATTAACTTTCGTCAAATCCTTGATTTTTTTTTCCAAAATTCACTAACTTTTTCAACCCGCAAACTTTTCTGTTTTTGCTTATAAGTTTATTAACAATGCTTGTGCTAGAAGACTACCTGCAGATGCCTTCTTTGCTAGTCTTTGCTCCTGGACATATACTGCCGAGAGGTAGTCTTTGCATTTTGGTTGTGGAATGTTGTATATTGGCTGGAGCTGTACCACCGGACATATCAAGTTGTACTAAAAACACATATTTTCTGGATGTTATGGTGACACACACTTCATTTCGTTGAGATATCATTTACCCCCAAGTTGCCATGTTTGGGGTGCAGTGTTCATGAACCTTACTACTAACTCAGTAGAATCTAGGCAACACGTTTGTCGCCAACTGTTGCTGCTTATGAGTACGATAAACCTGGTGAGAAAAAAAAATACTGTGTGTCAGTTATGGCCATATATAAGCAGTTCATGGCATTTTTTTTCTTTTTCATTTTGCCTAGCAGAAAAGGTGTATGCTGTTGTGGAGCAGCAAACTGAAGTAATGAGCCTGCAATTGTTGAAATCCCAGGACTGTGCTTTGGTGATGTGTCACTTGATACAAAATCCTGAAAGAAATGTTGGGGCCTCATTACTGCCTGTGGTACAATGCAGTCGTGCCGGGCACGAAAATTAAGCATCACTGCTACTCTTTCGAAACCAAGTCTTATTCGCCTCAGATGATAAGACAGCGTTTACCCATTTGTTTATGGGTTCAAAATTGATTTTGTGACAGTGTTTACCCATTTGTTTATGGGTTCAAAATTGATTTTGTGAAAAGCCAGGCCAATCTGATTTCTATGAAATTACTGTTCCTAACACGGTGTTCGACAGATTTCGCAAGGATTCAGGTACTCAAACATGGTCTGTGTCCTGACAAACTACACCATCAACAATTTGTTTTGGTCTCCCAAGCCTGTGTATGAAAAGCGCTTATCGCCTCACCGTGTTAGCATGGCATGGCTTCGTTCTGTAAAATGACAGCCGTTGTAATGTACACCTCCCTCTGTAACTTACTCCCTCCGTTCCAAAATATTTGTCTTTCTAGAGATTTCAACAAGTGACTACGTACGGAGCAAAATGAGTGAATCTACACTCTAAAATATGTCTACATACATTCGTATGTTGTGTCCATTTGAAATGCCTAGAAAGACAAATATTTGGGAACGGAGGGAGTAATATATAAGATGTTTTTTGACACAATGATAGTGCAAAAAAATGTCTTATATTAAGTTATGGAGGGAGTATGCTTTAAGGCAAGGAGTTAAGGATTCTAAAAACACACAAAACAGCAGAACGACAAACATGATAAAGAGCTCACAGGAAGAACCCACTGCATTCTGCATTTCTAAAAGGAATGAAGGACCATCAGCTTTGCAAAAACTAATGTATTTTCCAGTATGTGAAATGCATGATCCAAAAAAATTGCAGGACCATCAACACATTGCAAGTACCCTGCAGTGAAACGCTTTGTCTACGAAGCCGTGACAATCACATCACACGATGAATGTCAGAAGAGCTACTACATTCCAGCATCACTACAAAATTGTTCAGCCATTGGTCGCAACGATTTCAGTAGTTCTAGAGCTGCTGAGTTTTCTGAATCTGTATCTATCCATCTATAGGCAAAAGTTGACGCCATCATATCCGAGGCAGCGAAACTTGTGAACAAGTGAACTGTCAGGACTCCCGCTCTGATCTTCCTCTACTATGCATCGGCATCCGGGTATCGCAGTGCATCGTAGGCTGAATTAGCAGAAATTATGAGCGAGTTAGGTGGCAGACCAATAATCAATAACAAGATCAAGAAGAAAAAACCTGAAACAATGTAATGTGCAAGGAACTAATGATTGTAAGGTGCTACCTGAATTTTATTCACAGGTTAGAAATTAGTATCTTCTCTGCAAAGGTGAAATGAGATGACCGAAATTGATTTGGCCTTTGAGCTTCCATAATTTCTACTAGCGGCAAACATATGGAATGAACGAACGGAGTTATCTGAAATTCTGAATCAAGAAGAGAAATGTCCAACTAGCTTTGATAAATCCATATGGCACCTACTCTTTCCATCCAACTACTTTAACTCTTCTACAGGACTACACCCATGTTCTAACAGAATGTATCGTGCAGAAACAAGATTTGATTTACCACTGTTGGAACCTGAATTTTGTTCACAAGTTATTCAAGACAAGTAAAATGGGCCAAATCAAATGGATATCATCACCATCTTCTCTGCTAAGGCTGAAAAGAGATGAATCAACTGATTTGCGGTTTCAATTCAAAATCATCTTTTACTTATCTAGTACAAGATTACAGCAGTTGCAGACACCTAACAGTTTCAGTTAACTGTTTTTCAGACTAAAACAGCAGTTTCAGTAAATGAATCTAAAAAACAAACGATTTCAATAACTGTTTTTCAGACTACAACAGTTTCAGTAACCTGTTTGTCAGATTGTAACTGCTTCAGTAAGCTGAAATAAACCCCAAAAGATTACCGGTTTTAGGAGATATGTAGGGGCATGGAGAGAGGCTCTCACCAGGGGTCCCGGCCAGGAAGATGACAATCTCGAGGGTCTCGCCGTAGCCGCCATGGGGCAGGTCGACGACGAGAGGGGTCAGCCTCCCGTAGCGGCCCGCTCGGACGCACATGACGATGTTCGGGTCGTCCACGCCGGCAGCGACGCGGAACGCCAGGTCGTCCCTCAGGCGGAACACGGACCTCTCCTTGAACAAGAACAGGCGCCAGCCGTCGACCTCCTCGGGGTAGAACCCGTTCTCGAGCGCCCCCACGAACAGGATCCGCCGTCCGGGAGAACCGAATATGGCGGAGAGTCATCTTGGGCGAGTCTGCAGTTGAACCATTAACCATATCACTCACTCAGGAAGCACAAATTTGGCAAGAAGCTGAAAGAAACTAGCTACTCATAACACAA